GAGAGAGAGAGAGAGAGAGAGAGAGAGAGAGAGAGAGAGATTTTCTTCTTCTTCTTCTTCTTCGTCTTCTTCTTCTTCTTCGTCTTCTTCTTCTTCTTCTTCTGGGTGCGCACCTGGCAGCGGCGCGCGCCGCGCGACCACGCGGGACAGCGCCCCGGCGTGGTCCAGCGGCCGCCCGACGGCCTTCGCCATCGCCGCGCGCGGCCTTTCTAAGCGCGCAGCGATTTTAGTGCCCCGGTGTGGCCGAACGAGGCCGATCACGGCCAATCACGGTCGAACGAGGCCGATCATGGCCGAACTCGCCCGGCCAGGGCCTAACTCGGCCGGTGAGGCTTCCGGCTTTGCTTGCGGCCGACCAGCGGGGGAGCGTGGGGACCGCGGGCGCACACGACCGAGGCAGGACACGGCAACGTCGGCAGCGGGGACATCGGGGACTACATCGACGGTGCAGCAAGGTCAGATGACATCGACGATCGACGCCAGGGCTTGTTGGATCTGGGTGGGGGGCGATGACGGGGGGTGCAGGGAGCAGCGGTGTGGGGGGGTCTGGGGGTGCCCAATTCAACCCACTGTCCAAGAAGGAGATGGCGAAGTTGAGGCGGGGGAACATTGTTTGGAACTTCGTCACCGCAGGGCAGTACGTCAGGGACCAGTCGAAGATGCATGGGGACCGAAAGTTGCGTGGCAACTTATGCGGCCACTTGTTTCTTTGGACTGCTCAGCGGGTGCAGAGGTGGATGGCAGATGAGGGCATACGGGACACGAGAGCGCCCGCGGGTGGCCAGCGACGGCGGATGGACGACGCAGAGAGGGACGATATTCAGGATGCCCTCGATGAGGAGGAGGGCCGCGAGGGTGGGGCCGGGGGGGGGGGGGGGGCAGACGAGGCAGACGAGGGAGTCGGAGAGCCTGACCTGCCAGGGGAGGAGGTGGTGATGACGTCGAGAGGTGTTGGTCGAGCGGGTCCTGCTCCTAGGGCGCCGCGACCTGAGTTGGATCGCGTGAGGAGGGAAAAGAGGATAGTGGGGGAGGTTGGCGTCGAGGTGCGAGACACGGGCAGGGAGAAGAGGGCTCAGCAGACCACGATTGACGAGATGTACGCCAAGGAAAAGTTGGCAGAGTTCATAGACGCGTGGCTGCAGTGGGTCTACGTGAAGGGGTTGCCATTCAACGCCTTCCGTGGTCCGGAGTTCCAGAAGGTGCGACAGGCGGCGGAGAGAGTGCCTCGCAGTATCCAGTTCCGGTTTCCCTCCTTCAGGGTCAGAGCGGGCGCCGGTATCCATTCGCCCGTGGCGACGATGGTGGGCGAGGTGCGCGTCGCTTTCCGGCACAGCGGTGCCACCATCCTCTCCGACGGGAGGAAGTCGCGCAGCGGCAAGCCGCTCGTGAACTTCCTCGCCGGGGGCGCCAATGGCGCCCTGCTATACGCCACCGTCGCATGCGACGGGTCGGTCCGAGACACCACGGACATCGTGTACCGTAGGTGGCGGGCCATCATCTTATCCTTTCCTGCAAAGGACGTGATCGGCTTCTGCACTAACTCCGCCAGTAACTATACGGCGGCAGCGCGCAGATTCGCCACTGACCCCGAGCCCGACATTAGGAGGATCACTTGGCTCCCCTGCTCCACCCATGTCTGCAACTTGATGTTGTCAGATATCGGGACGCAAGTGGGGTGGGTCAAGGACACCATCATCCGCGCTCGAGCGCTTGTGCGATTTATTAAATCGCACGGCGCTGGTCACGCCCTGTTTAGGAAGGTGAGCCCTCGCGTTCAGCTCGTCGAGCCCGTTGAGACACGATTCGCATCGGTTTTCCTGATGCTGACGTGTCTCAAAGGCCGACGAGGCGCGTTGGAGAGCATGTTGCACGGGGATGCTTGGGCACGCATCCCGTGGGAGCGCAGGCATGTATCTCAGGCGCAGTGGGTGCAGCAGCAGATCCGGACAGGGAGTTTTGGCGGTGTGTCCAGTACGCCATCCTTGTCATGTCGCCCGTCCACCAGCTATTGCGCAGGATGGATAGGGGGGGGATGATGATGTCCGTCATTTACGAGTGGAGTCAGCATGTGCTGCAGTTGATGAGGAGGGTGGACGTGCCGGAGAACATGATCGAGCCGTGCGTGCGTGAGGTTGCCATCCGCAACCTCCACATGCTAGAGCCCGCACATGCCGCGGCCCACCTCCTCAACCCTCGTCGACAGTCCCTCACGTATTACCATTCGTTGGAGACGACCGCCGCCGACCGCCGTGTGGTCGAGGAGTGCGACAAATTTCTCCTGGCGCAGACCGGCGGCGATCCGGTCGGCAGATTGTACAGGACCGTGAGGGACCAGATGAGGGCGTTCCACTCGAGGGGAGGGGATTGGGGAGGCCGCAGGCGACCTCTCCGATGCCGAGGTGGAGGATTGCAGGGGGGACAGCGAGACCGAGCGATGTGCATCGTGGTGGTTTGAGCATGGACGTGCCCACCCGGAGTTGCGCACCATCGCCATCCGTGTCATGCACTTGTGGACTTCTGCCTCTCCAGCGGAGAGGAACTGGGCGCAGCACAAGCGCATCAACACGGCGAGGCACTGCAAGCTTGGGTTTGCCAAGCTTGCACAGCTGGTTGAGATTGCCACCAATCTCAAACTGGCCTCGTGCGCATGGCAGGGTGGTGGCTACGTGTTGACGGTGTTGCCATGGGTTATGGGGACCGGTCGAGGGGGGACGGCGACAGAGGACGAGGATGAGGACGGAGATGTGGAGCCCGAGGTGTGGGGAGCGCGACCTGCTGGCAGTGTTCCAGAGGTGGAGATCGAGCGGCAGATTGTCGCTTTCCAGCATAGCCGACCGTCCAGAGCCCATTCGGTTCGGGACGTGTTCGGCATCAGGGCGACGGAGCTGCGACCGTGGCCAGAGGGTGGGGATGATGTGGACGCTGCTGCGGCAGACGACGATGACATGCTGCTGAGTAGCGACCCGACGACTGAGCAGGTGTACTTCACTTACGGTGGGGGTCGTGACGGCATGGATTCATTCACATCAGTTATCACTCGTGGTGCGTCGTCGACCGCACAGGCGAGTGGCAGCAGCAGAGCCGGTGGTGGTCGTGGAGGACTTTCGCATGCGGAGGTTGGCGTCGACGACTGGGGGGAGCAGCAGCCACGGGGAGGTCTTCGGCAGACAGGCAGGCGATGGGAGGTTAGGAGCGACAGCGAGGCCGAGGATGAGGAGGTGCCCCTTCGCGATCGTCGCTTCTCTCCCTCCCATCATCCGATCTCTGCACAACTCGAGGCACTTAGGCATTCGGAGAGGTTGGCGTCGGCAGCAGGCAGAGATCGGACATATGACGGCGAGGATCGTGGGGGGAGAGGACTCCTTCCGACGCCGGTATCCGCCCCCGCTCGCTGTCGGTGCTCCGCACAGACGACTTTGGCGTCGGAGGGCTTGGTGGGAGTTTGGGAGATTTGAGTGTCGAGGGACGTCGACGTGCCTCACCGTCGGAGGTGCGCACCGAGACGGACGTTGTGCGGGGCCCTGTTGAGACTGAGGAGGAGAGGGATGCCCGTTTGGACTGAGAGGAGGAGGAGCGACTGGGGAATTTGCCACGATGGGAGGGTCGGTTCGCGTATCTTGACGAGCAGCGTCGGCAGAGGGAGATGGAGACAGGAGGGAGGGGAGGCCGTGACATCGACGCCTCGGGTGTCCCTGAGGAGGCAGTTCAGGGGGCGTTCGATGATGACGGACAGGATGCCGCAGCGGGAGGTGAGTCAAGTGGTGGACGACGCGGCGACGCGGAGACCGCGGGTGATGAGGGGCAGGATGTTGTCATGGGCGGTGGGTCCCCTAGTGGGGGGCGTGGCGACAGCGAGACCGCAGGTGATGAGGGACAGGGTGCCGCCGTGTGTGGCAGAGGAGAGGGTGGACCCGGTGGAGATGGGGATACCGCGGGTGTCGGTGGAGACGATGGACCGGATGGAGATGATGACAAAGACCACGGTCCCGAGGACAATGCGTATAGACTCGCCTTGGTGTTGAGGGACCCCACAGTACCTCCCTTGCGCCCTGACGACTTAGCGCAGACTTTCTTCGACGTCCACGCTTTGGCACAAGCGTTGACGGATGACCGTTTCGCACACACGGGCTGCAGGAGTGGCCAGAGGCAGGCCCCTGGAGGGGAATATTCACCGCCGCCGTTTGTGTTGCAGAGTCCTCGATGGTTGGGTTCGTCGCTCAGCGGCGGGAGAGGGAGGGAGTCCAGAGCGAGTGAGGTGGGGTCCGGTAGATGCAGCGACGACGGCATAGACATTGCAGGATCGATGCCTCCACCACCCGCACGGACTCCGGAGGCCAGGGTCGACGCCGTGGACCAGACGGCGGCACCCGGAGTTGCGCACAATGGCGGTTCCCCGCCGGCAGTCCGAGGTGGTGTGGGTGGCGGATGGTCATCTGTTTGCCAGGTCGGGGACCGGTTGCGGGCGGATTACGACGTCGGGAGGGGCGTCTTCACCGGACGTACGCCAGTTGAGACGCAGGCCGTGGAGGGTGGGTCCGGACGTCCGAGCCTGCATATGGCAGGCCGCATGCTCGGTTTGTCACGAGCGGAGACGAGGAGATCATTGGTCCTCGAGGCCACAGGGACATCCACGGACATGCTGCGGGGAGAGCAGTTCACATCGGGCGACGAGGGGTTGTTGATGCATCCCGGGATGAGACGACAACATGGTCTCTCGGAGGTTGAGGCTCGACGCGCGGCAGGGGTCGTCGCTGGCCAGGCAGCATTGGACGTGATTCAGAGGGAGAGAGAGATGGGGATTGCTGCACGGGCGGCGGAGGACGAGGACGCAGACATAGAGTCCGAGCCTATCGAGACTGCGACCCGCAGACACAGGGCATAGGTGGCCGCGGCAGCCGCTACAGCACAGGTGGCATACCTCAGCGGGGCACGGGGCACTGGTGCGGGAAGGAGAGGAGGGCGTCGGGGAGGACCGCATGGCCGCCCGTCCTCCGGGAGAGGCCGCGCGCACTCTGGAGGGAGATGACGACGTCCGTGGTATTTTTTTTTTTTTTCATTAGTTTTTTTTGTTTTTTGCGTGGCTGTACAGCCTGGACGCTCTGTCGGCAGGGTTATTGCATATTTATGTCGATGTTGTTCCATGGAGACGGCGACAGTATGTGGACATTAGTTTTTTTTTTTTTTTTTGCTACTCGGTTGTACAACAGAGACGACGGGTCCAGTTTTTGGCTTCAGCCTTGTACATACGCATTTCCACTCAAATGCTTTGTCAGTAGGGTCCAGTTTTTTTTTTGCTACTCGGTTGTACAGTAGAGACGACGGCCCGTCGACGGGTCCAGTTTTTGGCTTCAGCCTTGTGCATACGCATTTCCATTGAAATGCTTTGTCATATATTTGCTCTTGTTCGTATTCCTCTCCCAACCTTGGTTTTGCATCTGAGTCGCTGTTGTGTGGTGAGTGGTTTCTGGTTTGTTGTCGTAATTGTTGCAAATTATGTGCTTCTCCGATGCCACGCACCTGCATGTCATGGATGCCTCTATAATGAATGTGCTGTTAATTTTGGATGCCAAATAGGGATGATGTGGTAATGAATGTGTTCTTACACAAACTTCCACCAGTCTGATGAGTGAACACACACTATGAGTCTATGAAACACTTGCCTGTTGACATTGTTTGAAACTTATGGTTGGCCGTACAGTGAATGATTGTGAATGTGTTGTGACTTTGGTATGCCAACCAAAGTCTGACCTGTGATTGCCAATTTGCCATGAATGTGTTGTTTCAAAATCTGTCACGAACTGTCATCACCTTCACGAATGAAATCGACGCCTGCATGAGGCCCTGATCTGCCTGGGGACCTGGGGTCTGCCACCTGCAGCCCCGTCCAACTTCGATCCGACCTGGCCGCACAAGCCGCCCCAACCAGGCCCTCATCCAACCCCCGTTGGGCCGCCCCCACAGGGGTCAAATTTTTTTTTTTTTTTTCTACTGTTCCAGACCCTCTTCCTTGCGACCCCGCATCGACGAACCCTCACGCGGGGGACGCACAAATTTTTGCGGCCCACCCTTCCAGGGCCATGTGCAGGACCCCCCCGTTTTTTTATTTTTTTGACACTCTGCCGCTGTGAGGGGGTGCCCCCCCACCCCAAACCCGTTCCCCGCTTCGGAAACCGCCCCCCAGATCGGCCGAGGCCGAGGCCGAAAAAACTCGGTCGGGCCGGCCGCGACCGGGGGGGTCCCGGCCTAGGCTGCCGGCCTCAGCCTGGGCCGAACCCGGCCGCGGCCAGCGTGCAACATAACCGGCGCCGACCTGAGGAGAGAGCGCCATCAAGTTCTCCCACCATTCGTCGGCCCTCCCCTCATGTTCATCACCCTTCTCGTCCTCGTCGCCAATTTCACCCAATCCCAGCTCACCGTTGTTGTTGTTGTTGTTGTTGCCATTCACGCCCTCGTCGCCAATTTCGCTCAGTCCCAGCTCATCATCGTTGTTATTGTTGTTGTTGTTGTTGTTGTTGTTGTTGTTGTTGTTGTTGTTGTTGTTGTTGTTGTTGTTGTTGTTGTCCACCTGCCAACCCCTCTCACCAATCTCGCCCATTTTCTGCCTCTCCTCCGCCACAACTACCACCTCTTCCAAGAACCCCTGCGCCCCATCCCCCTCACTCGTCTGGTCTACATTACGCTGCTGCAGACGAGTGACACTGTCGACGTCACTCGTCTAGTCTCCATTACGCTGCGGCAGACGAGTGACACTGTCGACGACAGTATTCCCGACGCCGACCTGGGAAGAGACCGCCATCAGGTTCATCCACCATTCGCCAGCCCTCACCTCATGTTCAACGTTGTCCCTCATTTCCCCTTCACAGCCCCTCTGACTATCTACTCCCCAATACACACACACTGCGGCAAGGTTATCATAGTAACTGACCACGTCCTCATCGTCGAGCTCACCATCCTCCTCAAACGAGACACCGTCATCTGTGTAGAAAAGAATATCTTCATGTGGTTCCGCAGGGACTTTCAAAATTCCGCGGGTACGCGTGCACTTTCAAAATTCAAATTTTGAGTCGGCCGACCATGCCGTGCGGTGTGGTTCCGCAGGGACATGCGGGTACCTTGGGGCGACCCCATGGGGGACTCTGAGGGGTTTTGCAGTGGGCGTCACGCGAGGGAGCCGCTAGCCGTTGTGGCATCAGCGCAATGTTCCACACATATTTGAAGAGATGGCTCTCCGTGGCCCTCCGTCGACTGTGTCGAGCGTCTCGTTCCGCCTTGCTCGTTCGTCTTCACGCACCGCGGCACAGCCGCCATCTCCGCCAACTTGCTCGTGGGCAGTGTCCATTGCTGGGGGCGTCCGGTCGAGTGTTGGGCGAGTTCACTCCGCGAGGATGACTGCGATGTCTGAGGTGGTCCATGTGCGTGGAGTGGGTGATAGGGATGACGTCGGGGCCGAGTTGTCCGCTGTGGAGAGGGTTGCCGTGACGTCTGCCGTAGCCGCCGTCATCATGTATTGCGACATGGAGGTCGAAGATCAACGGCGGTGGGCACGACTACGTGCCCGGAGAAGGAAGTTGATGCCAACGGCAACGACTGAAACGTTGGATAGTGCTGCCATCTGTGATGCCGTGTTGGAGGTGTGCTGTGCACTGGGATGTGGGGGACTACCGAGGGCGACGCCAAGGTGGTGGGTAAAAAGGAGGACGGGGGGGACTTGGGAGGATCTTCGTCCTGCGGACGACGCCACTGACGATTACTTCCGCGACAAGTTACGGATGTCTCCACGTGTCTTCCGCGAGATCGTTGAGAACTTATCGCCGATCCTCCAGCGACGTGTGACGTTCTATAGGGAACCGTTGCAACCAGACCAGATCGTCGCCTACGCGCTGTACAGGTGGACGTGGGGCGAGACATACGAGAGCAGCAGCTGCAGCTTTGGGATTGGCAGGGCTTCAGGTTTGGTGGCCATCCGGAACGTTACTGCTGCGCTACTTTCGGTGTACAGGGAGAAGGTGGCATGGCCGACTGGGGTGGGGAAGGCGATCGTTCTGCGTGCTTTTGCAGACAAGGGTTTCCCGAACTGCCATGGGTGCATCGACTGCACCCATATCTACGGGGACAAGCCGACGAATGCACCTGCAGAAGACTACTACGACCGCAAGAGACGCTTCTCTGTCGTTGCTCAAGTGGTGGTCGACTTGGACTTGCGCATCCTGGACGTGTTTGTGGGATATCCGGGGAGCTGCCACGACGTCCGGATCATCCATCTCTCCACTCTATGGTAGAGGGGGGCGGCGGGAGAGTTGTTTACAGGGCCTCCTGTGCTGCTACCGTTCCAAGTGCAGACGAATGGTTATTTGCTGGCCGACAATGGTTACCCGCCGAGCGAATGGATGGTTGTCCCGTTTGGCAGCGTGGCGCAGCATCCCCTGGAGAGTCGTTTCGACAGCAAGCAGAAGATCGCGAGGGGGGCAGTGGAGAGGGCGTTCGGGAGACTGAAAGGAATGTGGCGCTTGTTCCTAGGCTCGCACAAGACCAACATGCAGACCTTGCCCCAATAGTTCGTGGCCGTCTACATCTTGCACAACATCCTGATCGACGCCGGCATCCCTTTCGACGAGAACTTGCTGTGGGAGGTTGACGCCAATGGAGTTCGCCGTCGGGTGGATCTCGGGATCCATCGCCCCCCCAGGCCGTTGTGCATGGAAACTTCTACGGGGGAGGCGATCATGCTGCGGCAGGTGCTGGCGGAGCGAATGATGCGGCGATGACGGCAGAGGGACCTCGCGAGGCGGCGGGAGCTGCGGGCCGTGTATGATGGAGGAACGTTTGACGGCGGCGGTGGGAGGAAGCAGTGTGCGGAGAGACGACGGGCGCAGTACATGTGCAATGTCGTCCAATTTTCAGTCAGCAGTGAGGGACGCAGAGCGGAGAGCGACAATCATGCCTCGTAGTCCCCACGCCATATGCCGTCCGTTTTAGAGTTTGTCGGAAGTTTTTCCTTTTCGGATTTCGATCCGCGGCTTCGGGCTGGTGCGTTGATAGTGGGCCGTTCCCTGTTAGTGTGGGCGAGTCGTTGGGCGGTGGAAGCGGTGGCGGTGGCCGGTTAGTGTGATTAGTAGACGACATTGAGATGGAGTTGTTGTCTGTCGCGAGCGGCAGCCGTGTGCATCTCTTGGGGCTCGTTCGGGACGTTCTACGGAGAGCAATCATGTCGGCAGTGTGTTTTTATAATTCGCAAGAGTTTGGTGATTGTTGGGTTGTGATCGGAAAGTGTTATTGGTTGTTGACGACTGTTTTCCTTCCTCTCCTACGCACTCCCTGCTGCATGGATGGAATGCTGACGTGTGAAAAAAAGAAGTCTGCGAGCACAATCAAATGGTGTTTACATGTGTTCATATAGACAAATGGAATTCATTAAGACGCAGGAAAAGAGTTTTGTGTCTGCCTTCATTCGTCTGCCTCTTCGTCTTAGGGTTGCCAGTGTTTGGTGTATGAGTGCGTGTTGTGATAAAATACAACGATATGCAAACGGCACTGATCAATGGTCATCGCAGATTTATGTTCACAAACAATTCCGAAAACAAGTGAAGCATAAAAAAAAAAAAAAACTCCAAACAAAATAAACAAAAAATAAATAGAAATAAAATATACAATATACGAAGGAAGGGAAGGATCGATCAGTTTGCGTTCGGGAAGCATGCCAACACAAAAGAAAGGAAGTGTCGAACCGGGCTGAAGAGAGGGAAAGTAGAACAGCACGTTTCCAAATTATAAAGCACACGGCACTGTACATAAACATCAAAAAAAAATTCTACGTTGGTGTGCCAAAAACGGTGGTCCACTAAAAAAAGCTACAATGCACTGGGTTGCGGAAAGCCCGAGGGATCTGGCGACGACGTGTATGAGCACCGGTCCTCACAGTAGACGACTACCGAACACGGCCGTCTGCGCCATCATCATCATCATCATCATCATCATCGTCATCATCATCATCGTCATCATCATCATCGGCATCATCATCTTCATCATCACCATCATCACCATCATCATCATCATCGGCATCATCATCATCGTCATCATCATCACCGTCGCCATCATCATCATCATCATCATCATCATCATCATCGTCATTGTCATCATCATCAGTATCATCATCATCATCCTCGTCATCATCCTCATCATCATCATCGTCGTCGTCGTCATCATCGTCGTCGTCGTCTTTGTCGTCATCATCATCATCATCATCATCATCATCATCATCATCATCATCATCATCATCATCATCATCATCATCACCATCATCATCGTCGTCTTCATCATCATCACCATCTTCGTTATCGTCGTCGTCAGCACCATCATCATCATCGTCGGTGCCGTCTTCATCATCAGCATTGTTGGTCTGAACGTCGCCGCCTCCGTCATCATCGTCGCCATCATCATCATCGTCGCTATCATCATCACCATCATCCGCATCACCGTCGTCGCCGCATGCAGTCCGCGACCAGCGTTCACGCCTCCCCCTCGTCTGCCTTCTCCTCCTCTTCGTCGTCGATCTCGGGTGGTCCGGTGCCCATCCAATCCAGTCTCCTGGCGAGATCGGGAGACGCCAACGTCGCGTCGTTGTTGAAAGTCACCCGGCAAGAAACCCAGTCGGGGATGTACAAAGGAGAGTCCACCAACGTCATTGGGGGCTTTCCCATTTTCTCCGTCACGACGTTCACGCACTGCAGAACATGGCGCCGCGCGTCGAACGAGCGATGAAGCGACGCAATGAGTGTCGGTTTCGCGGCTACCTCCATGAGATGGGAGGCCTCGTAGTGAGAGCGCAGATTATCACCCGCCATCCGCATGATCCACATGGCGGCTGACAGCAAAAGGCACATGCAGTCCGCGACGTTCCTCAACCTCTCATACGAAATCGGCCCGCCGTCCACCCCCTCCCCCACGTCAACAACATTAGTGAAAGCTCCGACGAGACGCTGCGTTGTGGACTCTTGATACGACACCATCTCGTCGTCCTCGTGCCTGTCGTGTATGATGCCACCAACATACCATGTGGGGAGCTTCATACGAGCCTCCAAAGTGTTGTGGACGACAGCGGGACTGACGCAAACACGCCAGTCCTCTCCCAACCAGATGGCGCCGCCCAGGTCTGTGGCCACGTGGTTGAGCACATACCCGTACGCGCAGTGATAACCGCGTGCGCGATTGGGGGACTTGAAGAGCCACACGTGGATGATGCGCAACGCTATCGTCTGCACCCTCCCAGCCCTCTCCTTGGCGGCCTGCAGCTCGGACTCGTCTTCCATCTTCTGCAGAGGGATCGTGGAGTTAGGCAGCACGATGCTTTTTCTGATCTCCGGCGGCTTCACACCCTTCGCGATGGCCAGGAGGTGCAGGCGAGTTTCCTGTATCATCTTCACCAGCCCATGCCCCTCCGTCTCGTTCCAGAAACAATGATCGTCGACCCACAGCCGTGCTTTCGTCTCCAGAGCCGCCACGCCTTCCGTTCGCCTCTGCCTGTTGATGAGCGGATCGTCGTCATCATCACCATCACGGCCGTTGCCCCCGCCTCCTCCCGCTCCCCTCGTCGACGTGCCCGCAATGGCACCCGCCGCCGCGACATCCTTCGCCCCGCTGCGCGCGGGGGGCTGGGGCCTGCTTGCTGCAGTCACCGCCGCCCCCTCCTCCCTTCTCGCCTGTCCCGCTGCTGGCGTCGCCTGGGTCGACGACGCCCGCAGCGGCTGCTGTCTGCCAATGTCATGCGCCGCGGGGACGTCCCTTGCTTGCACGGGGTTGCGCGTCGTCGGGGTCAATTGGAGGCCCCGATCGTCCCTGTCACCACCAGCAGCTGCCACGTCGCCCCCTGCGTCGTTGTCACCACGCGTGACGTTCAAGCCTCCCCCTTCGATACCGCCTTTCCCCCCTTCATCTCCGCTGATCATTCGCGCGGCGGTTTGTTCGCTCGAGCTCCCTTTGACGCCATGAAACGTGTCCGCCTCCGATTCGAAATCGTCGTCCTCGTTGTTGCTGCCCTCCGTGATCCACTCTTCCCGCGTGGCCCTGCCAATTACCAGGGCGCCGCCGCCTGATGCCTTCGCCTTCTTCGCCTGATGCCTCTCCCGCTTTACGGCGGTAGCAGTTTCGCCCTGATTAGACTCCCTCCCCCTTTTCCCCTTCCCTGCGTTGTGCGTATTCGTCATCGCTGTGAAGACGAACGACGTTGATGGCGGACGGCTGGTGGAGGAGACTGGTGAGGGCCGCACAACCTGCCGCTATCTGCGTGTGATTGAACAGACGCCAGACGAGCGGACGGCGCGTATCTCACGGCGACACTGACGACCCGGCTGCCACGCGCTCGCCGCAACGCCGCCATGTCGAACAGCCACGAAGACATGCGCTGCGCAAATTTGAACGGCGACACCGTGTCCAAGCGAATTCGGCGACGAAGACGACGCCCGAAGAGAAGGAGGTGTGTCGACGAGCTGTCCAGGCGCAGTTCGCGACGATGACCGACACGGCGTCCGACTGAAAGGAAGCAGGCGTGTCGCCTGGCCCAGCGCGCTGTCGACTGCCCTGCAATGCGTCGTGCGACAACACTGCCAGGACTGCATGGACTGGACTGCTGTGTTCTCTGATCGGTGGATGGGCGCCCGCGAAGTTTATAACGCGAAGGTGCACGTGTCGAAGGCACCGTTCGGCGGTACGGAAGAGGGGCCGTCTACTGGTCGGTGATGCGGTTGCGGGTGGGGGCAGGCCGAAGGGGATGCCTTTGCGGGATCAACGCGTTCGCATCCCGCTGTCCCTCACACGTGTTGTCATTGAGCAGTATCCCCTGAAACACACCCCCGCAGCGACGAACCCCCTCGCCATCACATGAAGGCGGAACGCCGAAAAAAAAAAAAAAAAAAACTTGCCACCCCCTACCACCCAGCCCATTGGAGCCTCACAAACAGGCATGCACAAAGACGTCTGCATTGGAAGGCGGCCTTTGAATGCCATGCCGCATATAGTGTTGGCCAAAGAAAGGAGGTCGTTTCAGTACACAGATGTTCGTCGCAAGAATGCAAACATGAAGCAACATAAAAAAGAAAAATTTAACAAAAAAGGAAAAAATACCAAAAAAAAAAAAAAAAAAAAGTTATCCTCAACACACTACCACAAATT